GTCACCCTCGGGTTCAGGCTTCAGGACAGGAGCAGCTTCTGACCAGGCCTTCCGAAGTAGGTCACGAGTAGAGTGAGTTGAGTAGACCTAAATCTACATGCTTATCACACTCAAGCACTCCGCAACCCCGGCAAGCCCGATCCCCTGAGTCCTCCCTAAACTTAGACTTTGAGAGCTGGTGCCCTAACACCTTGACACCTGGAGGAACCATAGGCCTGCCATTTCCAGCCCAAGGGTTCAGGGGCAAAAACTGAATGTAGGGTTTTCAGTGGCAGTTGCAAGGCTCCCTCTTTCATTTCCGGTCAAAGATTAGCTGTGGCGATTGAGTAATCGCCTTCGGCATCGATGCTGGAGGGATGCTCGGTGCCTGTGAGCTCTTCGGACCATGTGAGGAACAAGCCCAGGCCGCTGTCGTCTGGAAAGCGGAAAGGCCGCCCACACCCGAAAACCTCTCCGGGCCAATCTGGCCATCCCCAACTCTCCTGCAGCCAACTTCGCACCTCTGCGCGGCTCCCGTGTTTGGGCAGCTGGTACTCGCGGCCTCTGTAAAGCACGCAGCCACACCTCACCACACGGCAACGGTAGTCTGTCCGCCTGACACGGTACAATCGGCGGCAGTCCTCGTACGGACACGTGACAAGAACTTCCGAGCCCATGGCGACCTCAAGCTCCGGCACGCCACGGCAGTAGTCCACAGCGGTCTTGCCCCAGCTGTCTCGTGGAGCCAAGTCTGCCCCGAGCTCACGCAGAACCGATACGACCACGGAGCATGCGGCGCGACGGCCCTCATTCTGGCTTGCGACGTAGGCCGCCTGGATGAGCGCCGTCGAGCCGTCCGAGCACTGGGCCTCAAGATCCGCGCGTCTGGCAGCCAGGCGCCGCACGACCTCTGCAAAGCCGCGCATGGACGCATGGTAAACGGCGGTCACGCCCATAAAGTCTGGCACGTCTGTGGCGCCAGATGCAAGCAGCACCTCGACTAGCTCCTCATCCCCGCGAATCGCTGCGAGGGACAAGTCGCTGCCGCCGCACTGGTCCAGGTACCGCTGCCGGGCCTCCGCGCTGACTTCGGGAGCCTCCAGGCCCTCTAGCAAGCTATGGTAGAGGAGCTTCTGCTGATCCTCGGAATTCATTGGAGAAGTTTGGCGCGAAGACTCGGGCCCAGCGGCTTCAAACACGTTGGAAGAGAAGATTTGCCACTCCGACGTGCTATAGGCCCCCGAAAGCAACAAACAAATCGGGGAAGAGGTGGTTCATGCATGTAGCTGCAATTTCTTTTCTCTATGGGGTGGGGTGCAGAGATCTTGGCTGAACACGAAGCGCACCAGTATCCGGCCCGGGGCGCCCGTCCCTCTTTTGGAGCAGGCTGATCCGGTCAAGCAGCACCCTTCGACGGTGGAAGGTTTAAGGTTTTGAGATCATTGGCGCATGTTAGAGAACTTGACATATGGTTTGCTTACGGCTTGAGGCTGAAGCAAGTCTGAGTCATGCAAAATCACAAAACTCAACTGGATATGAAAACTCTCAGTGATGGACAACTTTTGGACCAAGTCGGCTCAGCCCTTTAGACCCTGCACATACAGCTTCAGTAGATTTCCTGTGTAGGCTGACCTGATCGATTGGACTCTCGCTCCTGGCGTCCTAATCCTGGAGCTTTGGGTCGTTCCGGATCCCGGCTTGGCGCAGCCCTGTACCCACAACACACACACACACTTTAGGGTTTAGGGCTTAGGGTGGAGGGTTTAGACACACAAAGAACAAGTACCTGAGATCAGAATGCCGGAAAGCCCATGGCAGGTACTGATCCCCGACTTGAGCTCCGCCCAACCCACCTCCCTCAGCAGACATCCCCCCCCCCCATGCCTGATGAGGCTCAAGGAGTGCTGGCGCGAGCCAAAAGACATCCGAATGTCCAGCTCGTTCACCTCAAAAGAGAACTCCATCACCAGACCCAAGAGTAGCCTAGGGGAATACAAAGAGAGTGCCCTTTTTGGTTTAGAGGGGCTTAGAAGGGAACCCAAACCCTACAAAAAGGGAATAAGGATCCCAGGTCATGTCCACTCATGATGAAACTCTCATTAACATGAACAGATTCACCCACTAGCCTCCCTTGTGACTTAAACGGTGTTGAAACTGGCCTCGGACGCGTCCGAGTTCCAGAATTTCTCATGCTAAGGGGTGTTAGAAATAGCGGGATCAAGACTAGGTCTGAGGGTTTGATGGTTTCCGAGCTTTCGGTTTACGGCGTGCGGTGTAGGCTTCACGTGCTTCCAGCGCAGAAGGCTTCGGTTTAGGGTTTAGGGGGTTAGGGGTTTAGGGTTTAGGGTTCCTGTGACTCGAAAGACTCACTACTTGTAAACATTCCCCAAAACCCGCGCTGTCAACCTGAAGCATTGACAAGAATTCTAAGACACCAAAAGCATCCTCTGCTCTCTGAGCCCTACTTGCCTGAGCCTCACCCCTGCGGCTTCTGAGCCCTGCAACCTCCAGTGCTGAACCCTACAAGCCCTCAAAAATCCAAAACCATCCGGAGCCGGGGCTCGCGGAGTCTCTCCTCCAGCTCGTTCCGCGGCTCCGGCCGCACAGGGCGGTTAAAGACTCAGAGTGGCAGAAACGGGGGATATGGGTCCGGGTTCCGGGTCCAAGATCGCTCTGCGGTAGTTGCCAACCCTCATGCTGCACCGCCCCCCATAGATGGGGCCTTGAGAACTGTTGAAGTCCTGATTCCACGATAGCCTTCACTCCCAATAGCTCCTCCTTGTAGCGTCCGGGCGGCCGAATTCGAAATACTTCCGCAGCCAGGGAGGCGAACGCCTCCTCGGGGGGATTTAGGTTCAAGGCCTCCGGCCTTTGGAAATCGAAGTGATGAACTTGCAGTTCCAACCCTAAACCCTAAACCCTAAACCCTAAACCCTAAACCCTAAACCCTAAACCCTAAACCCTAAACCCTGCAGGGTCCCATGGACGTCCTCGAACCCAGAGTCCCTTTTAGGCACGAGCTAAGTCAAGGCAGCGGAGTCGTCCCTGTGTAAGGATGGATACTCAGCGAGGTTCATGTATCCGATAGCACTTGCGCAGGCAACAGAACACGATGCACATCCTCAGCTTTGGAATCCGCTCGAATGGCAAAAGCAACTGTCACCAACATTCCCCACTTTGAGCGAACCATGCTCCAGAAGAACATTCTTTAGGGTTCGGGGTGCTCGGAAACCCCCAGAAGGGTTTCTGCTACTTTCTCCCCCTTACCCTTTCGAGGCGAGCAGCGCTCTTCGCCACCAGAACTCCCGCCAGGGCTCGCAGATCGCGTACCTGAGCTTGGGCTGATGTTCCGAAATTCGGGGAGGGTACCTTATTGGGGTCCTTCTTTTTTAAAGGAATCCTACTATTTGGGGGTCTATGTTGGGGGTCCCCTATTTTCGGAAACCCTCATGTTGAGCAAGGTTTAAGTCTTCAGGACTTTTCGGGCTTTCGGGGCCTATTGACGGCTTCGTTTATTGACTTATTGACGGCTTCGTTTAGGGCGTATCGGGCGAGCTGTACAGCAATCAGAACGTAGGGTTTTCGGGTAGGTTGAGAGGAGCTGTCAGGAAGCGCAGATTGCGATTCAGCCGTCGGAAATACGCCTACGGTTGAAGAGTTCAGGGCAGGTCGGCTGCCAGATGATTTGGGCTTCGTTTTGAGAGAACTGCAAGTAGCTTCCGCTGTTCAGGCTTTGTGTTCTTGTTGGTTGAACCATGTTGAAGTGGCTCCAAGGCACTTTTCCGTGAATGAGGAATGCTTCAACACAAAGCAAGCCCTAAACACTCCGGTTCATTCTACAGACCCTCTCTGCCATCTGTGTCCCGGCTGCGGGGGACAGCAGTAGCTGCCTTCGTGCTCGAACCTGCGCCAGCCTCGGTGAACTGTCCTATCGGGTTAGCTCTTAGAGGGGCTTTTCCGCTTTGATTCTGCTGTCCACGTCGAAAACTCCGCACAAGAAGCTTCTGGAACAACCGCATGGAGTCAATCCGTCGATCCAATTCAAGGTTTAGCAGAAAAGTGCTACCTCAATTTGTACTCTAAATTCAGCCACTGAGCGGAACGTCAGCGGCGGACGCATGGCACACGAGATGCCGAATGGCCCGGGGGGGATGGCCCGGCTTTCTTGGGCGGGGGGAGGGGTTTAGGGTTTATGGGGGTTTTAGGCTTTATGGGGGCTTATGGGGTTTTATAGGGGTTTGGGTTTATGGGGTTTATGGTGTTTATGGGGTTTATGGGGGTTATGGGGGTTGTGGGGTGGAAGATCTGGGACCCATTTCTGGTCTTAAGGCTTTCGGCGGGAGATGCTGTCAGACTTCAGAGTCGGATTCGACATCAGGCCCCGGCTGAAGCGACTGTCATTTTGGAGTGGAGCCCGCGCGTTTTTCGACAGGCCCGGACGTGCCCCTGCGTCCTACTTTTCTTTGTGCCTGCACATAAAGAAGTGATGTTCGGAATGTTTTGGAACGTTCGAGATGTTCGGAACTTGAGGCGCCTGTGACGCCTTTGAGCCGTAGCATGGGTGCAAGCAACTTGGGCAGTTGAAGGCGACTCTTACAAGGGTAACATAGGGATTATGTCCTTTTTTTTTGGAGCTTGTAAGCAAATAGTAGTAGATCGACCTAATTCGAGAGAGAGGAGAGAAAAAAAGGGTGCCCTCCCCAACCTGAACCTCCAAGTCTGGGCTGCGCACAGCTGACAAGGAGCTCTACAGGGCTTGGGGTCGGGTGGACAGATGGGCCTGGATCAGGGGATCGAGTTTGGGATACGAGTCCTGCCACGCAACCTCTTTGTCTTCCATGGCTGCTGCAGAGCTTGTGTAGGCTTTCCCTGGTAGCCCCTTCATGTCGAAAGCATACATCCCCTAATCATGCTACTGCCCCCTTTTCGCCCGCAGGAGCTGCTCTCTTGCACCAGACCATCCAGCTACACTTTTGTGACATGAAACCACAAACCCCCGAGTCCAACGTCTCAGGTCCCGCCTCTCCCAGTAGTGCTCGGCGCCCGAGCTTTGCCAGGGCATCCAGCGGGGCCTTGGGCTGCACAGAGGATCACAAAGAACACCTCCTTCTGACGGCGGGCTTGCCCTGGTGTTTGGCAGTGTTGGCTGCTTTCATCTACTTGGCAGGGCCCCTTTAGTGATGGAGTTCAGAGGGTGCAATGCTTCTGCCCTGTGGCAACGGCCTTAAATCCCAAAAGCCCCGGCGACCCCTGCAAAACCTAAACCCAACCGCCCGCTGGCAAGCCTGAAGCCCCTGTAAACGACCCTTCCGGCAAGGTTTCAGGCGCCTCGGAACCTGAAATCATCTTAAATCCACCCCAAGGGTTCCCAGACCCTTGCCGGCTTCTTGTGGTCCAACCGGGCCCCCGCACCCGCATCACCGAGGGCTCCAGTTGGGCCTCATAGGTCATCAGGCGGCTGAGAACGGTCGGAAACTTCTTATAGGTCTGGCACACTTCAAGAAGGGTCAGCCGGAAAGCACAAACCCTATGACCCTATAAGCCCTCAATTCCACATGACATGTTGGGCCCCTGGCGCGGACGACAAGGCTTTGCTCGAGAAAGTTTCCCATGTCCTGCAACGCGCAGGGGCAGTCAGCACGGGTGCAAAAGACACACACACACACACACACACTCTCTCAAAAAGGCATCCGAACCACCTTAAGGAGGTGCCCCGGAACAGGATGCTCTCTTGGGCGGTCCCCATCTCCGACACGGACGACCAAAGTCACCTCTTGATCGTTCCTGCGAAGACTTGTTCAAGGGGGCTGGGGTTCGATTCAGGGTGCAAAGGCCACACGCAAGGGTTCATGGTTATCTGCTTCTCAGATTCTCTCTCCTTGAGTAACAGCATGATCCAGTATAGCAGACAGCAAAAGGCCGCGCAAGCCCGTTCTAGTCTGGGACTCCAGGAGAGTCCCTTTCCTTCCACCAACCAGGCGGATAAGCCAAATCGACCCCGACTGAAACCGGCCGCCTTGGATTCTACCGAAGCTCCAGAAATACTCAAGTGTCAAGTCCATTCACATTCAGTTCTCGTCAGTTCCCTGTCCGATATTCATCAACGCGGAAATGGGGGGCCTCTCCAGCACCGGCCCGGTGACGCATAACGAGAGGCCTCTCACGGTGAGCTCTCTGTCTGTGTGTCTGTCTGTGTCTGTCTGTCTGTCTGTCTGTGTGTTTGCTTAGAGTCCATACAGGTTGGATCACTTAAAGGTCTGGACCTGTTTTTGCCCTCTGAGCATCCTTGCAAATTCTGACGTGCGTTTTGAACACTCGGGGACGGGACTGATGTCTCAAGCATCAAGATCGATGTGCCGCGCTGCACCAGCAACGTGAAATCAACTGCAGTGGCCCCAATGAGCTTCTTGCGCCGGATATTAGGAAATGACTCGCATGCTTACAGACATCTCGAGAGCTAGACCTCGAATGAGTCCGGAGATTGAGCACCACGTCGTTCGTTGGACAGAGAGGATGCAGCTGTAACTCCGCAGCGGGTTTAGGTGTGTATCGTTTCGCCCATGGCAACTCACATCTTAACCACCTCCTTCCACACGGGCTGCTGTCAGTGTATGTTTCGGACTCCGACTGCAAGAATGTGTCTTGGCGTCACACCGGCGCCACGCAGCTTACAATTTCAACAAAGTATCCGTATCTTGCGAATGAATGTTTCTGACGAGAACGACCTGAGCCCATCCCCTCAACTTTGCATTCTATAGATTTTGTCTGTGCATGATCCAAAAAGCGGAATATCATCACCACGACTTGACTCCTTTCCGACCTGGGATTCAAGTCGTCATCGACAAAGGCAAGACAAGTATCGCACAACTGCTGTAGCGCTGCTTGCTGACGCAAGCCGTGGCTGTTGGTTCCTGGACTCCGCGCTTTGAGCATGAGGCTCCTTGGACAGAGCAGACGCGATCGGCTCTCAGGACGGGAGCAGAACAACTTGGGTGCTTCCGGGACAGAAAAAAGGCGGAGCAAACTTGACATGTACACTGTACATTTTGTGTTTGGGCTCTGGGACGAAGCAAAACCCAGCGGACCAGCCTTGACATGCACGCTTCGCGCTTGGAGGCTTGCAGAACAGCTGCACCAGACTTTGACATGAATGCTTGGAGACCCCCGGACAGAGCAGAACCAAGCAGGCCGAACTTGACATGAAAACTTTGGGCCCCTCAAGAAGCAAACGAGGATCATGGCATTCTTCAAACTGTTTCTCCTTAAGCGCGCTCTAAGAACTTTCCGAAGCCCTGAACCCCAAACTTCCAAACTATGGCGAAACCTTTCCATAAACTCATCAACCCGGAAATATCGCCTGGGAGGCCCCTGGGAACCCTTCGACCATTCATCCTAAACCCTAAACCCTAAACCCTAAACCCTAAACCCTAAACCCTAAACCCTAAACCCTAAACCCTAAACCCTAGGCTTTCTCCGGTGCTACGGCCCTCTGGGACCCCCGGCTCAACTCCGTAGGCCGCGACGAGCGCAGCACGCCCTTGGCGGGGCCTCGGTACTCTCAAGGTTCTTCTTGCTTAAGGCTCTGAGGGGTTTAGGGTTTAGGGTTTAGGGTTTAGGGCTCTTAGGGGTTTGGGGTTTAGGGTTTAGGGTTCAGGGTTTAGGGCTCTTAGGGGTTTTGGGTTTAGGGTTTCGGGCTTAGGGCTCTTAGGGGTTTAGGGTTGAGGGTCACCCGGTTCAAGGAGTGCGCAGATGTCCAAGATGGCCTCCCGTTGCTGTGCCCTGGCCCCCAAAACAAGATTCACCTCTCGATTTGTGGTAGGATTGTATATACTCCGTAAGGTTACAACCCTAAACCCTAAACCTTAAAGGCTATCTTCTCAGCTACTAGGAATCAGAATGGCAGCTTAAACTGCAGTTTAGGGTTTAGGGCTTAGAAGTTTAGGGAAGCTGTCAGTGCAAGTTTTCCCGGGGCGCGGGGAGCGGCTGAAGCTTGAGAGAGCGCCATCCCGGGGACGCGTAAAGCAGACACCTGTTTACAAAGGAAGGGTGCTGGCAGCGGCACAGCCGCCCGATGCTCCACCCCTGTACACCTCTGTACAGCTTGAACCTGAAACTCCCCCTACGCCGCAAGCCGAAGAAACTGTGAGGCTTTGCGGGCTTCAACGTCTTGAGTACTGGGAGCTTTTTTTGGGGTGTACCACAGCCCCAAAGCAGACGTTTAGGCTGCGGTTTTGAGCTGCAAGACGACCTACAGCCTCGACTGTCTACTGGATGCCTTCAGGTGGAGGGCTTTGGGCTTTGGCTGCTTCAGGGACGGGGATGAGCCCTTACAACGTAGTTGCTCGCAGTAAAGCATGCGGTTCTCCAGATGGCCGAAGCTCACTTTCGCCGGTGCCGGGCTTGCTCCGGCGCTACGCATGATGTGTTGGGATGTTCCCCCATATACGAACAGTCCTGAATAGGCGGGATTATAATGGGGGGGGGGGTACTATAATCCCTATCAAGGGCTGTTAGTTTAAGGGATGCTATGTCAGAACGTGTTGAAGCCCTGGCCGCCCTCGCTGTGTCTATCGCTCTGCAAATCGGCCGGTGACGGACAGCATGTGGCTCACGGCCTGCGTGTCCCGCTCCCAGGGTCTGAGAATCTTTAGCATCGTGACTGTGGGCGCACCCCAAGAACTGAGAAAAACAACTCAAGCCCATCCATCGAGCCCAAAACCCCAAACAACTTACCCCATTCCCACAATGTAAGCTACGACACCTACTATTTGGGGGTTTTCATATTGGGTTTTCCCCTGTTTTCGTAAACCTCTGACTTACCAACATCATGCATCGCATCTCGCAATCTTCGGCCTTCGGAGGCATCCTAAGCCTTGGGCATGTGACTTTGGCTGAGAAAATTGTAGAGCTGGTGCCTGAAGCATTTAACTCAGGCATGTGGGTTTAGGGTTTAGGGTTTAGGGTTTAGGGTTTAGGGTTTCGGGTTCAGGGTTCAGGGTTTAGGGACTGTGGGGTGTAGTGAGGGTTGTGGGGGATCGATGGGTTCAGGGTCTTGCAAGAGGGACAGCTGTCGCGGCCTTCCTTCCCTTTAAATCTTCCCAGGAAAGGGGAGCGCCGGCTATTCTGAAGCATCTCGGCAATGCGAATTTCCATCGGGATTGGGGGAAGTGATTGCAGACCAAACTCAAGTAGTAGGTAGCTGGAATTCGGGCCTGGCCATGGGGTCCAAACAACCTAGTTGGGGCGAACATACTGCTAGGATGGCTACGGTTTTGTGGATCAATCTGTCGGTACAGGGTTTGCGGGGCCTCGTCTACTGTCTGACAGTACTTTTACTTTTCAGGACCTTCGCACGTCACTTCGCCGCACCCCGGTTTCAACGAGCCTATATCACGTGTACTCAGTGTACTTAAAATTTGTACAGAGCTGCGCCGAATGAAGCGATGGCTGCCGGCCCGGCTGCGCCGCCCGGCCTGCGACTGGCGCGAACACGCGGACCGATACCCTGAAAGCCTTTGAAACACCTCTCCGGAAGCCATCTGTAAACCTGAGTAACACTTCTGTTTAAACCCAGATTTAGACTTCACTTAATGCCTTGAACGCGGGACGATGATCGGATGATTCGTCCAGTTCTGTCGTCGTGTTTTCGGGTAAACCGGTAAACGCCTACTTAGTTGTTCTGTGTAACCCCTTCTAAGTTGGGAAGGCCAGAGAACTTCTGTGCCTAAAGAGGTAGCTCCCTTTCCCCCCCGAGACGGTGGGATCATTGGGATCTTCTGGTTCCGCTCTGCTGGTTCTTAAAGGAGGGGGGGTTCATAGGGCCAGGTACCTATAGGGAAGCTGAGGGAGTAGTGGGGTGTATTCGGGAACCTTGGGTTACATACCCCCCTCGAACCTCCCTCCCTTACGTATGATAGCGACCCGGTAGGCACCCAGCCTCAGCCGTTCTTTCTCTCGTTCCCTCTCTCACAGCCCTAAACGCTAGAAACCCTGAAAACCCCATAAACCCTCAACCCTAAACCCCAAACCCTTCAGCCCTTAAGCCCTTCAGCGGCCTCATGCGCCCCGACACAAGGCCTCCTCATGCAGGCGAGCGAATGAGAGAGGGGGAGAGAGAGAGAGAGGGAGCAGATTTCAAGGCTTTATGTTGCAGGTGTGCGAGATCTGACAGCTCTGCTTACCATGTTGAATGTGTTCGAGGGGGGTAAGGGCATCAGGGTCTTAGGGTAGACTACGCTACTTATTGAGCTCTACACAAGCTTATCTAGACCTGATAGCAACCTAGGAACAAAAAGGGTACCCTTCCGGGTTTTAAGGGGATTGTAAGAGGAAGTAAGGGCCTACTCCCGGTCCGAGTTATACAAAGCTGCAGAATCGGGGTCTCCGCCCAAATACAGTACCAACTGCGGCTTCGGCTCGCAGAGGCCATCTAGCAGCAAGGCCGCACGCCGAAGTTGGGAGTCCTGCACTTTCTCATCTTACGGGGGGCTTCTGAGGGCTCATAGAATTAGGGTTTAGGGTTTAGGGTTTAGGGTTTAGGGTTTAGGGTGTAGGGTGTAGGGTTTAGGGTTTAGGGTTTAGGGTTTAGGGTTTAGGGTTTAGGGTTTAGGGTTTAGGGTTTAGGGTTTAGGGTTTAGGGTTTAGGGTTTAGGGTTTAGGGTTTAGGGTTTAGGGTTTAGGGTTTAGGGTTTAGGTGTAGGGTTTAGGGTTTAGGGTTTAGGGTTTAGGGTTTAGGGTTTAGGGTTTAGGGTTTAGGGTTTAGGGTTTAGGGTTTAGGGTTTAGGGTTTAGGGTTTAGGGTTTAGGGTCAGGGCTGAAAATCACATCGTTCTTTTGCCTCTGAGGTCCAGAAGTCCTACAGAATGCCTTTAAACCCTTTACACACCCCGCATGGCACTTGCCGCAAATTTGAAGGGGCGGCCGTCCCTGCCGCAGCAACCACCACGCCAATGAAGGCTTGGCACAGGTGACGCCTCTTCCTTTTGCAGGTTGATGATGAGGGCAGCGAGGCAACGCAATGCTCCTTTGCGTCGCCTTGCCCTCTGGAAAGACTCGTTGAACAAGATGCCATGTCATCTGCGCAACCGTTGCTGAGCTGGACTCGCACGGTGAAGCAGGGACCGTGGATTGATCGCCGACGCCGAAGGAGCAATTCCAGTCGGCATGTGTGGCAGCACGGCGCCGGAAGCTGCACCCAAAAGTACTGTTCAAACCCTTCTAACAACATTCTCATGGGCCCTTCTTTAAAGAGGCCTGAAAGTGGAACAGGGTATTCTCATGTGCCTACGAATCTGGCCCTTCGCCCCCCTTTGCTATCGAAATGCCACGAGCCCTGCCCACAAGCTCCAGAAGACGTCACGGAAACCTGTCCTGCGAAGGTCCAACGAGGTTGCGAAGCGCAATTTGGACCTGGCACCACCGCGTGAAGCGCTCTCGCTTCTAGCTTGTCATCCAACTGCCAGCAAGCCCTCCTTCAACACATACACCGCACCCACACCCCCCCACCCACCCTAACCCCAAACATCCCCAAACCCTAAACCCTAAACACCCCCCCCCCCCCCCAAATTCAAAAAGCTCACAACCCTGAAGCTAGCTCCGGTTCGCGGCGCCGGGGGACTGCGCGGCAGCCAGGCGCACCCAGCCCCTCGTTGGCGATGATGTCGCTCCTGGATGCCGCAGAAAAAGGGAGGTTTAGGGTTTAGGATTTGGGGTTTAGGGTTTAGGGTATAGGTTGGGATGTTCCCCCGTATACTAACAGCCCTTAATGGGATTATGCTGGGGGGGTACTCTAATCCCTATTAAGGACACTTAGTAGAAGGGTGATCATCCCAAAGTGTAGGGCTCCTAAGGGAGGGGGGGTTCATGGGGAGTGTGTGGGGGGGTACTAGGGACCCTTGGGTTTCAAAACCCCCCTTGAACCCCCCTCCTTAAGAACCCGATAAGTCTAGGATTTGCTTGCAGGAAGAGGGGTGAGGGGCAGGTGAGGGTCTTCGCTAGTCACACTTCGCGCATGGAGACGGACTTCGACATGAGATTTGCGTGCCCGATGCAAACAGAGGTGGTTTAGGGTTGAGGGTTTAGGGTTTACTGTGTGGCCACCCGAAAACCCGGTGTCGTTCCGTAACGACACACATAGCGGGAAGCAGAAATTCTGATCCTGAGCCCTAGGCAACCTAGACCCCGAAGACCTCATACTAAACCGATCAACCATGATCAAACTTAAAAAAAGCGTGAACCTCATATCTCTGGATAAGTTCACTGAGAAACCCTCTGGAGTCCTTGTGCTGCAAAGCTCGAAGAGCGCCTGGCACAAAGAAACGGGAGTGGATGCTCGCACATCTGGCTTGAGGAGGTCGTCGGACATTTTGCGGCACGCCCCTGGCGCCACACAAAAATCTGCGCTAAAAAACACCGTTCGGGGAGAGCTAACTGTGGGTATCCTTGGGATGGTGTTGACTTGGATTAGTTTTTCTCAAGCCCGAAACCCCCCAACAGAAGAAGTGCTGGTCGGTTTGGTGCGCCACACATGCCCTATAAGCTCTGAACAAA